CACCATTGTGCACCAGTTAACACAAATAAAACAACATATAATCTAAACAAATCTGTTAGGCTTAGATATTTTAATATCAGGTTTAATTTTATTTTATTTTGCACGCACGCACTCAGAGAGCATCCAGATGTTGTCAATTATCAATCCATGCAGCACATCAGCGCATACATTTTATGCATAAATAAAAAAAGGTTGGAAATGTTTGTATAGTCATAAAAATACCCGGGCGGCCCGACCAAGTATCGTCTATATTTGGGAAAACAATGCTGTGCCATTTCCAGCACATGACTTGAAACTTTTGAAAGTACCTGACCTTTTCAGAAACTGCAGACATGATCGTTGATGCACGCTGACAGGTGCAAACAGGCGGAGGATGTTTATAACATTCACACTAATTAAAACTTGCTAAAACAATTGAACGTGGTAGTTATCAAAATCAAACAGACACATTTAAAAAAAAAAAAAAAAAAGTCAAACACTCACAGTATTGCAGGGGGTCAGGAGGTTGATTATGTTGTGGTCAAAGTCTGTCACGTGGTTGCATATGTACAGCTTGGTGTTCTTGTCTCTGGAGCGAGGGTTTTTTTGTCTCACATGCATCCCCAGAACTGAGCACATTATCCTAACAATAAATCTAAAGACAGAAAAGAAATATGGATAGGTGTGATCAGAAACACACAGTGAATCATTCTCAATAACATACACTTCTAAGAGGACCAGCTCAGTGTGTATCAAGACTCATGGATCCATCGGTTATTAACTTTATTTACACATGAACATAAATAGGAGCCAGACACATTTAAAAGGTATCATGGCTTAACAGGCACAAACCTTCATTTATAAAAAAGGAGCCACACACTGCAACAGTTCTTAATTGACTGACTGATTGATTGTAGTCATATCTGTAAGCAGCAGTCACACAGAAGGTGTTTTATGGGATACACAGTTTGAAGTGTGTTAGCATTAACTGTCATTTACTGCTACCACCGTTTTTATAAATGTGTAAAATTACTTTTTCTGGGATTTTTGGGGCTGATATCAATATCGATATGAGGAAGAGGAAAAATCCAATACCGATAAAACGGCCGATATCTTTTCTATTTATTTAACACTTAAATAATATAAGAAGACAAGATGGTCACTCAACTGGAAAGTAACTGTGCATGTACGTGCGTCACCTCTTGACTCTGGAGAGTAATAATGCTTTTGATAATCTTTATAGCACACTCAGCTGGTGAAAGAGAACTGCTAGTGTAATACAATGATACTCAAATGAAATGCTGTTTGACTGGTGAATAAATCTAATAATATTAGATAATCTAATAATATTAGATACCAATAGTCACTTGATACACTAATATTGGCTTATTAATGGGTTGGGCTCTAATAGATTTAGATGAAAAACACATGACTATCACAACAGCAAAGCTGTCACAATCTATTATTTATGCTAAGAGTTGTGTAAATAATATGAAAACATAAAATACTTACCTTCTAACAAAACTTTCTGGAAGTGCACAGCTGACCAGGAACACGTGAACACCGATAAAGATCCGTATTAACATCAAGCAAACGCCCACAGGAAAGTAAACCAGCAACAGCAAAAGGATTAATGTGTCTTTGGGAAACCTGTGCAAAGAAAGAATCAGAGTAACACAAAAAAGAGTCAATGAAAGTTGCCAAAGATCATGATCAGATCAGAAGTAACCGAAAGCAATGAAAGACATTTCATCAGAAACAACAAACAAATCCAACTGCATGTCATTCAATTGTTCATGTACCTGTTCTAAACACCCCACATAAAGCTAAGGTTAGGTGAGCCCACAGCCACTGTTCATGCAATCAGCATGTAGCTATGTTTAACTAGTAAACAGCAACGTGACATGTGTAGAGATGTAAGTACAGGAGCATAGTGTTGACATGGAAGAAAAAAAGCTTTTAGTTTGTTTGTTTGTTTAGTTGTTAGGACATACAAAGTGATCCCTTTATAAATAGAAACTTCTCGTTACAAGACAATACTACTAACAATAAAATAAAGTATTAAGCCAGACTCAAATATATGCTTTAACTGGGGCAACAGAAGGCCACTTCAGCACCAAGATTATACATATACTGACTAAGGATTACTCCACATTCAGTCATTGTGTTGCAAAGACGCAAGATACTAGTTGTTAAAGAAATACTGCCCAACATGAAATGTCCTCTAACATGCAGATATCTTAGGGGGGGGAGCAGGGGGGGGGCCGGGGGGAGCAGGGGGGTGAAGGCTATTAAGACTCTGAGGAATTTCTCTTCAAGTTCAAAGTGCAGCTCAGTTCATCGGTCACGAAGAACACGATTCATTTACTGAAAGCACACATCTGCAGTCCACAGTAGAGTCACAACATCCGCAGCTTCAGTTTCTAAACATTACGTGTCACTACATGTTTGGCTGCAGAGACAAGAGATGTCTAAAATAAAACCTGTTCTGTTTTTAAAAACCCAACACAGCCCCGCTGCATGTACAGGCCTCATAACCAATCTGTGTCTTTATTAATGAAGGCTCGTTTTATGATTAAGTGACTGCTATGACAAAGTTATTCAGCCAACACAAAGACACACAAAGACACACAAAGACACACACAGACACACATGCTGCATGAGCCTCTAATATCAATACAAACAAGTTGCGTAAACTTTAATTTAAGCTTTTAATAGAGGATGTCGTAAGTTTAGTAACCATCTACAGATAGGTGCACACTTGAATTAACATACACACTGATGCTTAATAAACATTTATAATACAGCCTTATTGTGTTAGTTAGATAGCTTCATGTTTTATAAAGCTGTTGTGTAGTCGTTTAGCAGCCTTAGCTTTAAGTAGTTAACTCAAATGTCAGACAATGATACAAGTATCCTGTATTCACTTTGATAAATCAGAGTAAACCCTGAACAGAGACGAGTCTGTGTCTAACTTGTGTGTGTGTTGAAGATCACAGTAACTTGCTGACTTACCGACGGAAGTCAAACATGTCTTCAGCCCCCCGGGTCTCCATGTCTAGCAGTCTTTGCTCAGAGGCTAATGCTAAGAAAACAACTTGAACCGAGACAATAAATCGGTCATAACGTCAGCGACAGCACTTTGGTCGTCCTGGGACTGAAGTGGCAGCTTCGCGGTCTCCAAAATCACGAGATGGATTGTAAGTCAAATGTTTTGGGCGACCTATTACTGCGACTTTAAAATGAGAGCTCAGCAGTCGCTCATATCGGCCGCGATGCTAAGCAGCTAGCATCTATGTTTCTCAAGCCTTCTTCTTCTTCTTCTTCTTCTGATGATGAATTTTTGGCAGGCTCCAACGACTACAATCTCTTCTTCTTCTCGTGTTTTTTTTTTGGCGGCTCGCTAACAGCTTGAACGTGCATACCGCCATCTACTGTACAAGCGTGTGTAGCATCATGAAATGTATACTTCAAATTCTGCCTGGCGATCTTGTCTAATATTAGAACGAAAAAAAAGAAATCCCCCCCTGACAGATTTTATCCCCTCTCCTTCTCCCTCTGTGCCCAGTATTCCTCCCATACTCCTTCTATGAGGGTGCAAAAGCATGCATTGCACCCTCATTTTACATTTCTGCATCCTCAATGGAATGGATGCAAACAATACAATAAGTGATAAAGGCTTTCAAATGACAACAGTGACTCACTTTGTGTTTACTACATCAGTTCTGATGCACATGACCTTTTCTGTTCACTGGGGGCCACATGCAGGAACAATAACACCTGTTGCCGTCCTCTGTAGCTGCACCCCCTTTGATCTCAGGTGCACCCTAAGTCATTTTGTCCTCGAACAGGGCCAGGTTTAATGGTAGCAGGCATCTAAGTATTGCTTTACTGCCTTTTATAGGATTTAGTCATCTCCTATACATTGTCCCCATATCTAATTTTCCCCACAGTCCATCATCTCCTTGAGAAGTTGATAAAACACCGTACCTACCCTCTTTACTTGTACTCAATTCTAGTTTGGTCTTCAGTCTTCTTCTTCTCATCCCAGATCTTTGCATTCTCTACATCCTGTCCTAAAGTGTTTCTATTGCATTTGGTGATAGCATGCTCTACAGTTTCATTTTTTTTTTTTTTTTTTTAGAATTATCTTTATTATCCGTCATTTTCATGCTTTCCACCACAGGTTCTCAGATACAATGTTCTACCGATCTAAATGATCTCATAACATACAGTTTACTTTACGCTATTTAAGAGTGGTATCATGATCACATGAAACATGTACACACACACACACACACACACACACAAACACACACACACACACACACACACACACACCTCACATTAGACCCTGTCCTGTATTCTCCCATGAGTCCCCTTCTCGCTCCACCCTCCAGCCATGTCACAGCTTGTTTCCTAGATTTCACAAAGCTTCATAAATATACTTCAATACTTCATTCAATTTTAATTTAACCTTGTTGTTATCTTCGGCGTATTTTTTATAGTCAAATAATATCTCATCAGTTATTTCCAAATATGTAGAGCCCTGCTCAGAACAGGCTGTTTCTGTGTCTGTAGCTGTATGGTGAGAAGGCAAAAAACAGAGTTGATTCTACGAAGATCAGTTGAATGTAACTGTTACAAGTTATATTTGAGCAAAAAGTTGATGTGCAACACGTGAATTAATAGAAAATAGGATATGTTAACAAAACATATTTTGCCCCCCATGTGATCAGGATTCTGACGTCAAGTTGGCAAGTCGGCCACCTGATTATTTTCCGAGTTGTTGTTCCAACTTGAGCAGGTGTTCATTTGCATTTTACAACTCGGGAACTCGTTTTTCCGATGTGTCCGAGACCACATGAATGCACCTTCAGTTTAGCTCCTTTTCCTTCAGCTTCCATTGGATTCCTCCCGTTACACCATTTTCCTTACATTCTTCCAAAATGTGAGCATGTATGACGGCCTTAGAAGAAACACACAGTAGCACAATGTCAGATAATAAAAAAGTCAAAGACTAAGAGAAAGGGTTTTTATTCATCCGGAGAATCATTGGTCAGTTTATGTTTATTTTATAACCACTTCCTGTAATGAAAGAATCCTCTTTATAAGTCTGCTTTATTGCTTACCTGAAATGCTCATTGATACCAGGTGGAATCTGCGATTGACTCCATGAAAAACACAACATTTACGTCTGCGAGACTACAAGTTTCTTTTCACATTAAGGCACTTTATAACTTACAAAGACTTTTATAAAAATCATCCACTTCAAAAAGACACAACATTATTTGGTCCTACCCTGTCGTTTTGAAAAGTATGACTGTGCAATATTAAGGAAGAGTTTAACTGAGCCTCTTTAATGTGGAACAGATTGTTTCTAAAACAACAAAGGTGAAAAAAATTAGAAGATAAGTAAAACAGAAAAACAACTCTTTGTGTGCAAATGTATACTGGTCCAGCCACACAATAAGACCAACCCCTCTTGAGCCTTTTCGCTTGTCACTGGACAATCTGGGGCATCTCGCTCCATGCTTTGGCCTTTTTCTTTGCCAAGGCCATCCAAGGTGGCTCGTCCTGTGTGAATGCCGGAGGAGGCAGGAAGCGATGGGAGGAAGGGATCTGGTTCGAGAGCCCTGAAGCTCTTGAACTAGACTTTTCTGGGGCATTTCTTGATGAAAAAGGAGGGGAGATAAGTGTTGAGCCCATGGGGTCGGGCGTCTTGGAATAGGTAGAAACATTGGAGAGTGGTGGTAGGCTAGCACAAGGAACAGATTTTTGGTGAACATGAACCTGAGAAGGGGCTGAAAAGGAACTTTGGGGTAGCTTGTTGAAGGTGACAGGAACATGGGGTTTCAGGTGGACAGGATTGGACAGACCATACGACTGGGATTTAGACGGCTGAGGTGACATCAGAGCTGAAGGCGAGACAGCCCTCCGTACCTCCTTGTCAACAGATTCTATAGGGTTATTCATCTCTGAGAAAGAACAAATAAGACACAAAGACACACAGTAAACACACACAAAGAGACGTTCTTTTAAAATAAAGTTAATAAGTTTGATCTTTGTTTGTGTTGATGAAGGCTGGCATGAATTTTAGATACCTTTCAAATCATTTGAAAATGCATTGATGATTATTTATCTGCAATTAGATTGAAAGAAGGCAAAGATATCTATCCACAGAATGAATTGCATGTACAGTGTAAAAGTTCTTGATGCAATAGAATAGAACTATCTAGGTTATGGATGTAAAAATGAGAGGGGGATTTAATGTTTCTGGGTCAGATGCAGTAGCAGGGTTTGTCCACATGAGGGGAACTTTGCATCAGTCAAAGGTGTGTTTTTATACAACTTGTTTAAGCAGATAAAAACCCCAGAAGAAAACAAGTTTAAATGACCATGTATGATGTGCATGTGTGTGGCCTGACCTTTGTCGGTGGACTCGGCAGTTTTGCTGTTGTTTGAATTCTTCATCTCTGGTTCCTCCTGATGACAAAGATCAACACAACCAGTTGTTATGATTAGTCGGCTCCAAATGTGTGGTAAAGTCCTGTTCATACAGGGTATACAGTCATTGAACGTCCATTCTAGTCCTATAAACCTGTATTGCTAGAGAACTAAATCTCAATATTATATATTAAATGTATTGTCATTGCATGCTGCAAGCTAAATGGTAAATGGACTAGATATTTTCTAGTCTTCTGACTAATCAAAGCTCTTTTACACCCTAGGTCACATCTACACATTCACACACTGATGGCAGAGGTTTCTATGTAAAGTGACCATCAGAAATAAGTAATCCCATTCAAAAACATTCATACGCAGTCGCCGAAGCAGCGGGAGAAATTTGTGGTTAAGTGTCTCGCCCAAGCACGCATCGGACATGTGGCTGGAGCTGGGGATTGAAACTCTAACCTTCCTGTTGAGAGACGACGACTCTACCAACTGAGACACAGCCGCCCCACGGATACAAACCAGTCGCTCTCTCTCTCACACAGACGCACAAACACACATTACCTTCTTGACTGTAGTCTCGTTCAGGGAGTTGTCTTTATAAATCTTCTGTTTCTGTATGGCCACAGAGATCCAGCTTGGGGAATCAGGTTCACTAGAAACACCAGGAGTGGAAGCTGGGTCTGGATCAATTAGACAGCAAAAAGACTGTTACACTAGGCGCTAAATCAGTGGGCTAAAAACTCTTTCTTTTTTCTTATCTTATTTAGCTCTCATTTTGGGTGAGGAGATCACATACTTTTGATCTTGAGCTTCACGCTCAGCCAGGCCAGCATAGCATTTACATCAGTTAAGGCCAGGCTGAGAAATGTATGTCTCTATCCTCCAGTAGAGCAGGTTCTCTCTTGTGAAATGATTGAACATCCTTTTAAGGTACCACATGTAGAGCGTCTTCAGTCAACAGATCAGCTGCTATGATCTATGTAAAGGATCCTTTACTTCATGTTTATTTGTAGAGGGACAAGTATGGAGCCCGTTTCCACACACTACAACATTTAAAGCCTAAGCTAATTTGCAATGCCCGTCTGTAGATGGGCCTTGAATGATGAATTCTTTCTGATAATACTTTATGCAAATGCTGATGATTTACTTTTGAATTCTTAGAAATTTGAATTCCTAAACCTTTAAGGTCATAAATTGATAACTTACTTCTAAAATGTTATAATCCCACTGCTAGTGGGATCCAACACTCCCTGACAAGGGGTCCCCAATTCTAGCCCTTTCATGAACTAGCCCATTTATTCATGTGTGGACTGATAACCTCTGGTGAGCATCAGTGATGCTTGGTTCATATGACGGCATCATCTCCCTATGGTTCGGCCAAGTTGTATTCTTAATCTCAATTGTTTAGATAGCATAGGCTCATTTTAACTAACTGGACACAGGGTTCCCTTCATGTAACATTGGTTATACTCCAATTTTTGATGCTTGAAAAAAAAAGCTCTCTACTTTTCATTGAAAACCTAAAGATATTTTTAATATTTGTAAAATGTGTGTCTTTCAGTGGGAATATTCCTGGTAAGATAAATGTTAAGTAAAAATGACATGCAAAAATGATTTGATTTATAATCAGATATCCCATTTGAAATAATATTCATTTTCTCCTTGTATAGAGTAAAGAAGGTGATTTTGAAGTACTTAATGGATTCATTGTATCTTTTTTTAAATTGTACAGAAAAAATAAACAAAGCAGGGAAAAATGAAGACTTGTACACGTTGTCTTAAGAAAAGTCGTTCATTTAATACACACCTGAGATGTGCTTGATTTTTGCTCCTCGGTCTCCATGTAGGTCTGGTTTCTTGGGGAGCGCTGGTTTGTTGCTTGGTGGCTTTGCACTGATTGGCTGTGTCAAGTCAGTTTGACTGCTGTAAGGCTGAGCTGGGGCCTCAAAGGAATGCTAAATAAAAAGTCAAAGATATAAAATCAAAGTTCAGTACCTAATATTTCTTAAATGTGTAACAACGTTTTGGCCTCTTGGGAGTTGCAGGTAAAAGCTGTAAACAAATCACTGTCACTGACACAGTTCTGGGCTCAAAAACAAAAGGCCCAAAAGTTATTTGGTAAAACAATGAGGGCAACTCAACAAGAAGTGTTGCGACTTCCTGGCCAGCCCTGCTTTTGGGGCCTTTGATTAAGATGTGCATTACCGGCGGCTGACCACAAGATGCACCTTAGCCCGTTTTTAGGGTTAATGCCAGAACCATCAAGTAGCACTGGCAGAAGTAAGATGGGTTTCAAACAACATACATAGAGTCAAAAAAAAAGTGTTGGTTTTTACCTGTGAATTTTGCTCCTCTGAACTAAAGCGGTGCAGCACTGGCGTCTTTCTCAACCACACTCCAAATGGATTGTTGTTGTTTCCCTTTAATAAGGCCGGGACCGCTGTAGGAGGAAGGATGGAACAGCTCATCTGTGGTTTAACTTTAATCTAACTCCATCATCAAGCCAACCTAATGTGACGTGGCAAATTACTCTGATTGCTTTAGCAAAAGTACAAGAGAAGATATAACTTAAAATGACACAGTTAATTGAATAGATCAACGAAAAGCCAAGATTCCAAATAAAAAAAAATATTCATGATCTACGCTTGAACATGCCCAGTGTTCTTACGTTCTGTGCTTGCAGGAGCCGCGGGGGCGCAGACAGATGCAGAGGAGGGAGGAGTTAAATTGTCTTTGGCACCTTCTACAGAGAGTGATGGGAAGTGAAATTTGGTCTGATAGGAACCACTGGATGGCTTTTTGACTGTTTCCTCCTCAGAAGCTGCAGGTGGAGCAACATCATGCGGAGACAAAGGTGTTTCTTCTTTGACTTTTTTCACAGTGTCATCTGGTTCTTTTTTTGGAAATGCTGTAGCACAAGAAGGTACTTCAGAATCCTGTTTACAGTCGCTAGTTTCCTCTGAGCTTGGTGAAAGACGATGGATGTGGAGCATGGTTCTGCCTGTGTTACTGGTAGTGCTGGTTCCACTCTCTTGGGACTGTGTCTCATGCTGCGGCTCTGGAAAGGAAAAAGAAGCCTTCGAGAAAGTCTGAGACTGCTCTGCGGCTTCAGTTTTTTCATGTTCCATTTGCATCATGTTTTTAGTGGATACCTTAACACCTTCCTGCTCTACATCTTGTTCAGTGGGATCTGAACCAGGTTTGTTCGGTTCAACATCTTCCTCTTTGACTTCTGCGTTTGGTTTTAAGTGGTCCCCTTCCACTTCCCTTTCTTCCCCGATGACACTTTCCTCAACACAGCTTTCAATCTCATCCACTATGGCCTGATCAGCCAGTTCTAAAGGGAGTTCATTCTTGTTCCTGACTTGTGCGGCTAACACCGTATCATCTTCAACCACCATGTCTTCACCTTCATCCATGTTCTGCATTGCATTGGTGATTTCAACCTCTTCCACGGCTGCATCAGGTAACACCTCTGTCACCTCTTCTGAACCTTGCCTTTCATCTTCTTTTGTTTCATCTTCCTCAGTCGTATCTTTATTCACCTCCACCTCTTCAACGCCTTCTTTTCTATTATCTCTTCTCCCTTCCTCCACCTCTGGCGACTTCTCGAGCTTAAATGTGTCCTCGCCTCCTTCGCTCTCTTCTGGTTCTACTCCTCTCTCTTCTTGTGCCTGGTTGATCCTGTTATCTGTAATCATATCATTCTGTTCCTCCGGTTGGACTTCCTCTCCCTCCTCATACTCTCCTTCCTCTTCTGGCTGGAAGACATGGCAGAGAGAAAAAATAGGTAGACATTTGAGTATAGCAAATAAGCATCAAGGAAGAGACATACACAATGAGATTTTACAAATTCTAAATGCTCTATGGTGTGATTATATTTTTTCCCTAATGGTTTCTTCTATAATGAACCTTGTTGCCAAATTGAGTAGGAAAATTAGCCTCATATTTTTGAAGAATTTCTCAAAATCCAATAACAACACTGATGCAAACAGGGTTATTTTAAGAGCGAAAAAAAATATATAGATAATGAATTGAATTATGAAGCATATTACTTCAAATATATCAAATAAACAGTACATACACAATGTTGACTCAATTTTTCCACAATTAAGTCTTCTTCTTTCTCCTCTGCTGCTTCCTCCTTGTCGTTAAGCATGGCCTCACTTTGAACATCTTGACAGGAACGAGTGTTCCTGCTCAAAGTGGAAACATCCTCCTCTTCTGTGGTGGTCTGATCTGGCTTGAGAGATCCAGCAGGATCAGCCTGATAAACGACAGGTTCTCCCCTCTCCTCCTTCAACTCCTGTGCTTTTTCTCCATCTTCTCTTTCCTTTACATTCACCCCTTTTTTTAGTTCCACCACAATTCCTTCAGTATGATTGCCAAGCGAGGAAGACGGAAGGGGAGTTTTCAAAGTGTCCAGCACCTCCTCTAACAAAAGGACCTCCTCTTCGCTGTTTTGCTGGTCTGTATCTTCTTCTCCTGTTAGTGACAAGTTGCTTTTCACCTCCTCGGCTCTATGGGGGATACCTGGAGGGTCCGGCAAGAACTCTCTCACACAAGAAGGAGTCATTGCTCTAGAAGAAGATATCAAAATATCATATTCACAGAAGATAAAAACAAATTAATTCAAGGAGGAGATGCCAAGAAGGAATTTAGAATAAGGAGAATAAAAGAGGAAGGTAAATAAAATCTTATCACCTGGGACTGTCCAGAGAGGAAGCTGCCAAGCCAAGCTTGTCAGAGGGAATAGGCTGGACGTCTGGTGCTTTCTCCACTAAGAGACATGGGTCAGGACAAGGGGAAGAATCCATGTCTACAGAAATGTGTTTTAGTTCTGATTCATCCTCTCCCTTATCACAGTCCTCCTTATATGTTAAAAGGGGCTGTGTTTGCCCCCCCTCTTCATTATCTTCATCTTCTCTCTGTAGCTGTGGTTTCAGCTCATCACCATGTACAACTAAATCGTAGAAAAGCACAAATATATCAAGGTGTGTGTGTGTGTGTATATATATATATACACACACTGTATATATATATTGATACATTGATTGATTAATAATCAAATTTCCCTCAATGCATTCAAAAATAAAAATTACGAAAGATTATTAGGTCCAGATTTCGTGATTAAAGTCATAAACTTATCAGAATAAAGTTCTTATTTTGTCTACAGTTATATCAGAGGAGCAGCAGACTTCTGTTCCAAAATGACAAACGTTGAGCATTTTGTGGAGTTATACTTCAGCAAAGGTTTCACAAATAAGGAAATACTTCATTGTGTATTCTGTATCACAGATTGAGTATTAACTGACCTGCTTGACCTCTTGTGAAGAGGTCTCCAAATATCCCATTAGTTGTGTTAGTTGGGCTTTACTTATGCAGATATGAAACCACACATTCTTTTGGCACATCAGCATCACATTGTCATAAGTATCAGGACCCTGAAAAGATACTGCAAGAAACTGGGGCTTTGCCAAAGAAAGAACCACACTGACTCTGAGGAAAGTGTGTGGCAGAGCAAAAGGCTTTGAGGGTTCCCCTTTCATCATTTTTGTGCAGGCTGACGGCTGCTCTTCTGATACAACCTTTTAGTATAATAATTTTAACCACAGCCTAAATCAAATCGATTTCCGAATTTCTTACCGTAAAATAATGACTTTATTCTTGTACATTCCCGAGATTTAAGTTGCAAATTGAATTAACCTCTTAAATATATATTTTTTAACGGGGCCATAATACTCCGTCGTACAAAATAGCTTAAATCAAGACTTCATTTAAAAAGGGCAACTTTTCTTTCAAGTTCACATTGAAAATATAAAAACTATTCATTACAATTTGGCATTTCAAGTAGGTAGATCATAAAATAATAATTTTAATTTGATTGATAACTTAATTAAACAGTTTTATTTGCTTGTTAATTTCAGTTAGGTATAACACAATCATAAAGAAATCAGGCACTTAACATTTCCTACATGCAGAGTAGGAGAAGAACGCAGATAATATAAGATAATAAACAACAAATGTTTACTGACCTTCTGTTGTCACATGCTGTTCGAGCTTCCTCGAAGCGTTCAGTATCTGTTTCACCACAGATTCTCCATCTGCTTTTACGTCCAGCCTCTGCATGGACACAAGGAATGAGCAATGATTCTGAACTCCTCAATATTTCAGTGTTATTTGTATGTATCCTTTATTAGCATTAGCATCAGGACCCAGAAACGATACTGTTAGAAACTGGGGCTAGCCGCTTCACCATCATCACATGTCCTGCTTGAGTGAAACTTAGCGGAGAACACTGGTTTCCTGGCTGACCATATGATCTCACACTTTGGTTGGACAAAAGCTGCATTGACATAAGATGTAAAATAAGCATCCCTGTCTATAAAAGGACCAGTGGATATTCTAAATAATTCAAGTTTGACTTAAACTTTCTACATAAAAGATTCATCACATTCAAAGGTGTCAAAGTATGAACATTTGACTTCCATGTTGTAATGAACAAAGAAACAAAGAAAATGAGACATTCTTAATGAACACAAATGGTCATTTGTATTCTCTGTAATTGATGTATAAATGGGTGTATGAATTGTAAATGCTCTCGTTATTGTTTCTATACATATGTTGGTCTTACAATGAGAGGTTTCCTCCTGTAACAAGCTTTGTGCCTCAGCCCCAGTTTGTGTTTGGCAGCAGAGTTATCCAGACAGCCGTAGGAACTGGCCGGCTGACTGAAGTCCCCTGGAACCACGAGAGGGCTCACAGCTCTACTGGAGGCGGCACAGGACAGCTGGGAAGAGAAAGAGAAAAGACAGAAGATTCGTTTGTTTAAGGTTTCATAAATCTGACAGTAGACGTGAAATAACTCACTCAAACAACCAACGCTCGAACAACTCTGTCTGGACTTTCCTTGTCTACAAGTGTTAAAAAATAAATGGTTGGATCAATCTTTGACTGTTGGGGTTAGAGCGTTAGTTTAAGGGTGGATGTCCACCAAGATGATGAAGAGGAAAGCACAAGAAGAAACCAGTAAACACCTAAGGAGTCCCTGGACGGCTTCACTTTATTCTGTATTTCCTGCTTTCCCCATGTGTGTTCTGCAGTGAGGCCAGCAAATATTCTTTTCATTGTAAAACTAAACAGCACTTCATTTTTCAATGAAGTGCTTCATTTTTCAACAGTAACTCTGTACTCAACTCTGTACTCAGTTTCAGTATATGGGTTTTGAGGCAGAATTTTCAGAATCAAACCACCCAAACATTTACAAACCAAAGCGTCATGGAAAGATAGATATCACTGGAGAGACAATTCAGAAGATCAGGTCTGATCTAATGATTTAGGGGTTGACATTTGTGTTGTGTTTGGACTTGTCTTGGGTCTTGTGCTTGACCTAATCTTCCACTTGTCTCTATCTTATCCCCTTCTCTGTCGTTTCTCTGGCAATAATACTATTAGTCTTGACTCTTTGACCCACTGTGCCTCTGTTGGTGTGCTTTCCAATGGTTTTCTCTGGCAGTCAGCATGTCTGCTTGCATCTGCCTTTGGTTATTGCTTTATAATTTGTCTTTAACCAAGCAAAACACCCTACAAAGCCAAAGCCAATAGTTGAGTTATTGTTCTTTGGGGGTTCGTCATCATTAGCAACATCTCTCAGATTCCACATAGTCACCTGAAATAATAAGAATATACAAATACTGGTAAGTATGGATTTAAAGTTTAAAGTTCATCATTGTTTTTTATATTTTAAGCAGGTTAAATGAAGGATCCTATGGACATGTTGTCCAGCCAAAAATTAAAGTGATGAGATCCAATTTGGTTATAGAAAAACCCCTCCAACTGCTGAAAAAAAATCAACCTTCAATCTTTTCCATAGATTGGGTCTTTACTTCCTAGTGAATGGGATACTTCCAAACAGGGCCAATGAAGTAATCATTGACCCTGATCCCTGTGTGTCTAACATACTTTAAAAGGGATTTTTCAGGTTTTGTATGCATGCATTTTAAGCTGGCCATTTGTGGTTCTTTATAGTTTGAGTATGACTGGCCAGAACTCTCCTAAAATCGCTTAAACAGAACTATCATTAAATGCTCATTTGTCATACTTTACTGACTGTGCGTTTAGCTCACATTTAGCCAGTGAGGCCAGATGGGTAATTGAGGTTTTGAAGAACATTTGTCGTGTCACGAACCTGCACTGCTTTCTCTCTATCATTTTAAATAAATGTGCTGTGAGGGAGCAGAAAGGGGTTTTTAGCTCACATGGGACAACCAGACATACATGTAATTCAGCAGAATGAGAGTTAGAGGATACCGAGTTCATAAATAGTGAAATAAGAGTGACATGGGGGTCAACCTAAAGAGGTGAATTTGCATTAGGGCCTTTTATTTGAAACCAAAGGTGATGTTTTTAAGTGGGACTGCATCATTAGCTGCTCTTACCTCCCTTGCATGAGGGAAAATACTTTCTGGAGGCCTTTATCAATTAGATAACTTAAGGCTTGAGATGAAGAAATTCCCTCTGTCTGCATTGTGGATGTGCTCTTGCTATTTGACATGAGCATCACATATTGGCTATCAAAAGTCGGTCTTCAGCCTTGTTTATGAGAACAGCTATTCAAATACACAATTGGAACCAAAGTTTGTCTTTTTATGTATGGAAAGTAGAATAATTCAATTATTTTTTGGAATGGAGAGATATAATTCCTGCTGCTGCTACAGCTCTGGGTTGCACCAGCTATGCATAACTTCATAGGTAGAATTATTTGAACCTAAAGGTCACATACTATACTTTTCAACCAGTTAAAATAATTCTCAAAGCTCCCCAAAAATAGTCTGTGGAGTTTTCTGCCAAAAATCCACTCTGATCCTGTATTTGATCACGCCTATAAACCCCTGGATTTCAGCCCTGCTCAGAACAGGCTGTTTCTGTAAATGAGCCACGCCACGATTTAACGGTGAGATGACAGACTCAGAGGGCAAAACAAACACCTAGCTGTTGGATTGAAGGTGTTGCACCAGCTATTATAGTTCCACTAAGAGTTGAAACTTAAATCTTAAACCTGGCTCTTAGTACGCGTGAATCCTTTTGAATCCCTCGAGCATTCCCTCTGAAATGTGTGATAACTTTCTTTTGTATTCCCACTTTTCTTTTCCACAAGTGAAGCCGGAGATAATTTCAACCGCCAAATAATAAAGTATTGTTCAATTATCTTATATGTTGTAGTTCATAATTTCACTGTTCGATGTCACCATTATTTTACACTAGATTAAGAATGATTACCTAATCATATTGTTTTGTTACATCTGACAAATATTTTCACTGCTGATTTTTGTTCATGGCAGTTAATGAGAGTTATCTCCAGACGTTAGGCTCTTCAGAGATAATTAAGCACTGTGAGAGGCAACACTGTGTTGATAAAACTGCTTTTCATTGATTGGCCACATGAAGTTAAACTTAATTTCTCTGACAATATTTTGGTAAGTTTGGTCGTTACACTCTACTAGCTAAGATGATCATAACGTTCCTGTGGTGCAAACAAACAATGGAACTACTGAAGTTACAAACTAACAAGTTTCAACGTAGGATTTAGTGTGGACTTTACACCCTGAATGAGGACAGAGCTCATACCTGGTGCAACCGGCCTCCAGGGTTTGGGAGTCTTAAAGTACACTAAACAGAAAAAAGCCCATCACATTTGGATCGGCCTCAGCTTTACTTGTTGTGTGACTTTCTAAAAAGATAAACATGGTAAACATTCTGCAGAACATTATGCTACCGTCACCATTGCATTCATTTAAGCATTTGGTATGAGCACTCAGCACTAGCAGAGTCTCACAGTGATGGTGAAATGGCCTAGAGACTCTTTTAGTAAGAGCTTTAATTTTGTTGCTGAACCCAGTCGAACACTAAACTCTCTGTCCAATCACAACTTTTAGAGTTCTGGAAAGTTAGACGGTAAGAAGAGTGTGTATTAGACTTCCACCAGTTCCATTGTCCCTATAAGTTCAAATCAATGTTATAGTTTCTTTGTAGACATTGTTTTGCTCACATCTGAGCCAGAAGAGTTTGTTATGGTTCACATTTTCTGGGTTTTTTGCCAGCTTGTTTTGGAAATACAAATTCAGCTCCATAGAGTAACAGTTTGATACAACACAGTTAGAGGAGTGCAATGCTGAATAAGTGGAATAGCCTTTTAAGTGTTATTTTTTTTTACCTGGTCATCATCACTGTCTAGTCCCTCCAGGCTATTCAGGCTGTGGCTTTGAACCTTACAAGATGTGACGAGATAAAGAGAAGAGGGTGAGAATAACAGTGTTAGCAGTATTTATCATCTGCAGCAAAAAGGCAGTCAGATGGACTACAGAATTAGACAACATACAGACACAGACAACCAGCCTCACTCACACCTACGGGCAATTTAGAGTCACCAATTGACCTAACAAGCATGTCTTGGCCTTGTCAAACGGGGATTCAAAACCAGGAAGCTCCTTGCTGCAAGGCAACAGCGCTAACCAGTGCACCACAGTGCAGCCCTACAGAACGAGCCTCTATTCAACAATATGTATTACCATGACTGTATGAAGTGTCCTATATTCTGGAGGACTACAGGGCAGGCCATCATCTTCAGACATGGTGCCTGTGTCTTCTGTTTTCTTCACACACATGAGGGAGGGTGGAGAGCCCAGTCTTATTGCTTGTTTTAGCTGGAGCTACAGGAAAAACATATAAAAATATGCATGTGAGTGTGTCATCTGTGTTTGGATACTTTAACCTGAAGGAGAATAACAAAAACTGGAAACACAGCCAAACATGCAGGATGTGGAGAAGTGCAAACGTCTTAAGAGTCTTAGATATTCATTGACACAAACTTGAATCTACTGTTTGAACTGTATCACAAAAAGACCAGGTATGTTTTTTATTTGCGTTTACCTGTAGTGATTTCACTTTCACGTGAATGCTATCCTGTGATGCCCCAAGAGGCTCGTTGGCTTCTGATGAGTCCGAAACAAAGACAGAGTCGTGTGACAAGGCCTTGCTGCCCAGGCTGATCTTTGATCTTTGGGAAACATGAAGTCAAAGAAATGAACAAATCGAAAAGTGATATTTCAAAGACTCTACATCACACCACGTAATTAAAGAGAAATGTATGTTGACAGGCCCTTTTCTTTTATTTCTTCTGCTTCTTTGGGGAGCATAAAAACAGTCAAACAGAAACATATGAGGGAGAGTAGAGATTAGACATGGCAGGAAGTGACACATTTTGGAAAAACACTGGAAATTAGGACACCCATGGACGAATTCCAGAAACATAACGATAAACAGGAAGCCACAAGGCTTGACTGAGGAAGAATAGGAGATGGATGATAAAGCTTGATCTTCCTTTTTGAATTATCAGTTTCCCTTTCCCCCCCAAGTGTTATTTATCTAAGTGTACAGAAGAACATAAAATGTTTGGTAAATAATATTTACCAAACAAATTAGCTAGAAACCAAATACTGGGCTTAAGGAAAGTGAAAGTTGTAATGTGTCTTCCTAAATGATCTGCCAACAAATTTGTGTAAATTATGTGACTCTTCGTTTTAAGTGACATAATTGACCTTTTCCTTTTTTTCTGACAAGAACAGAATTTTGGGGGGCACAAAAATAGATCTACTCTGAAGTCATAAACCTGGATCACCTTTTACAAATGTGTTAAATGTTTTAAAATGTGCCCTGTACAGTAAAACAACTGTCATAGAATTCAGATGGGTACGTAAGTCAGATCCATTATCGGACCGTTTAGGGATAAACATCAATGTTGACACTACATTTTTTTGTAAAGGTTATTAATGAAAACCTCCCTTATTGTTTAACATGTGTGTCTCTGTATATATTTGTACAGGATCTTACCCAGAGCCCTTATCCCTCTCTGATCGAGTGAGTGTGTTTTTCTCAGATGCTTTGCTGACATTTTCACTTGATTGGCTGGCTCTGAGCCCCACGTCTGCACCACTGGCTGGCAGCTCCTTTTTCTTTTTCCTGGCAAAGAAGTTTTTAAACATCTGGAACTTGGACTTTTTCTTCCCTGTGATTACAAATCAGAGAAGAGAGGAAGAAATACGATGAAAGAAAGCTCTTTACAGCACAAATGAGTGTATCATTACTAATAACTACAACACAAAGACTTGTGTGTGTTTACACAGAGTTTTACATAAAGACAGATACACACACAGCTTAGCTGTAAGTCCTTATCCCGCACTGGTGGATTCAGACAGGGGTCTTAATGTTTTTTTTAAAAAGCATTGCGAAAGTGCCCTGTTGGATGCCCCTGTGGTAGATAAAACATAAAGAAGGTTCCTCCTGGATGTACTCTTAGCACACAAATGTGATACTGGACTTGAGCATAGAGCTCTTCTCTAGTCTTCTGACTACTCAAAGCGCTTTTACACCGCATGTCATATTAACCCATTCAAACACTAATGGCAGTATATAAAGTGACCATCAGAAGTAAGTAATCCCATTCAAACACATGGATACGAAGCAGCAATTCGGGGGAATTTACCAGATCACAGAAACTTCTTATTACTTCTTGAGACTAGTTAAGCTTCATCGGCTTGAAAGTAGTTTAGTTTAGTTTATTGGATTATTTGACAGAGGCCATGCCCAGCACAACTGTTGGGCTGGAGTAGTAATAACACAAAAGTTGCTCAGAGTTAGAGTGGGTCATCTTCTGACTCAAAAACTGGTGGTTAGATTCAAGACTCCTCCTGTCTACAAGTCAAGCACCCTTGTGCAAGACATATTTTGATTTGATTTTGATATACTTTATTAATCCCCGAGGGGAAATTCAGGTTTACACTTTGTTGTTTTATTTTTTTTAGTGACATGCTTCTCACACACATAGGTCCGAATCACACACATGAACAAACAGGACCCGTGGACATGCATTGGTGGAAAGATGTCAGAGTGGGGCTGCTACACATTGCTATGCAGAGAGCGCACCAGAGCAGTTGGGGGTTTGGTGCCTTGCTCAACCTCGGCAGTGCTCAGGAAGTGTCCTGGCACCTCTCCAGCTACCAGACCAACTTCCATATTATGGTCCGCACTGGACTGAACCGACGACCCTCCAGCTCCCCACTTGAGCTAACCTGAGGTTTAAAATGGACTTTTATAACACAGAACATAGACTAGCCGATACCACCCACAACCCCCTTGATCCCCATAGAGACAGTGTTGAGATGAAGGTGATAAGAAGAGAAAAGTAACTGTGGACTAACTACACTGAGAATTTACCCTCATGGACAATATGCATACTTTACAAGTGACATAACAAATTCTCCTCACACTCACAAGGTTATTTTCCTCCTGCACCCTGCAGAGCACTCTTGAGGATTCTTTCCTTTCTTTAAAGCACACTCTCTAGTTGGAGCTGAACCACAGCTTAAAGTGCCTGAAATCCAAATCTTGTATCAGAGCCAAACTGCTTACATTTCTTAGTCATTTGTAAAAGGCCACATCACAAACAATCGTTGTATTAGATTGTTAGAGACATTAAATTGTATTTAATACCTACAAATAGGCATCATAATAAAGGCCCTGGCACCAAGAGGTTTTAATAAAGCTGCTTCTAAAATACACAAAGTGAATGTAAAACTGGGTAGTGTAAAATTTACCGTGGCTATAATTACGACCCAACCGACCCAACCTGTTTCAATATCAGTTTTTCCCCAATTGAAAAAGTGAAATACACAATACCATACAAAAGCCTTAAAGAGTATCTCCACACATCAAACACATTAGATAACCTTGTCAGCTCACAGCTTTGACACATATGTGTCACAGATATGTGTCAAAGGGACACCATGTTTACCTTCACTCATTATTAAAGGGATACTTCACCCGTTGAAACATAAGTCTGTATTGACATTGGGTCATATATGTAGTAGAAATGTGAAATACATTTTGAAGTTGGTGCCTTCTTGACCTAGAAAAGGCAGAAAGTGTATTTTTGGCTTATGTGGATGAAAGACAGCAACTCCCAGAATGCACAGCAGCGCAGGCCACTCCTACTGAAGATAGGCTGCTCTATTTACAGACATATTTACTTCAACACATACGGCCGTTTCCTCAACTGATTCCAAGATTTCTTCCAGAAGGAATTGGCATCTTGGAAATTCCTGGCAGAAAACAGACTCTATGTCTGTGTCCATAGGCGAAAAGTGAGAGCACCGACACTACCAGTCCACCCCAGCTCGAGCCGGCCCGGGCTCCTCGTCCTCACCGCTGGGTTAGGACAGCAGCTGAGGCATACCCGCCTGTCGGCAGCAGCTGCCTTGCTGCTATATTGCGGCTCGTAGAGATAGCCAAGAAAATCTGATTCGAGCACAAGACCTTCAAAATCACCTTCATCCATATCAGTTTGAAGTTGGAACGTAATTTTTTTGCTATTGTGTGTTCTTATCAGCTTTCTCCACAGAGCCTGTTAGCATAGCTTCCAAGCAATATGGCGGACGTTTAGTTTCGATTCTGGGAGTGAGGTCCCACCCACTGATCTGTGATTGGTCTGTAGCTTCAGTGGTCGAAAATATGAGGAACTAGCGTTGTAGTTTCACCCTGCTAACCGCAACAGCCTCCGATGATGCAAAATGACAAATTTTGCGTCACTGGAAGCTCCTTTTCAGACTCAGAAATACAAAGATTTCCCATCTCAGGGGAAAATGAGAGTGGGATGCGCGACCATTCAAAAATACTACCAGGTTTCTAATGATAGAAAGTTAATGCAAATGGCTGAAGTCTCCCTTTAACATTCAAAGTGCCTCTATTCTTTCAAGTTACAGGAAAACATTAACTGAGGATGTGTCGGAGCTTTTACCTGAGAGCTCTTCCATGACCTCTGCAGGGTCCTGATTGGTCGTTACATCCTGGTGTCCTGATGCCATGGAGATGCAGCCACTCCTGGTTAACGGGGAGAGAGAGAGAGTGAGGATCAGCCTCAACACAACTTTTATGCAATGACAACATAACAAAAACACATTTTGCTACTGAATCATTTCCCGAGCTAAACTCGTCTCATTAAGAGCAAAAACTACGAGTGCATAAATTGGTGCACAAACTTTTTTTCCCTCATTGCACTTCCCAGGCTCTGTAATTTGCTTTATATAACTTACATAGCCTCTATGCCCTATCACTAAATGTCAAACTGAGCGCCTATAGGGTATTGAGGTTCCCTGGTTTACAAAGGGACCATACCAAAGCATAGTGTAATTATTTCCATTAAAAGGTCAACAAATTATATACCTTATCAACAAGTTTAAATAAGTCTCAGAGCTCCCCAGAACATGTCTGTAAAGTTTCTTGTTATAAATCCACTCTGATCCTGTACTCTGACCTTCAAAAGTGGCTTGGTATGGTTTAGTTTTAAAAACCTAAAAAAACAACAAAGGGCATTACAGAGATAGCAAGTTCAGTACATTACTAATATAGTAGTCCCTAAGAATCTACTGAAGCTATTTCAATCATAGTTATCCGGGATGGCAACCACTGGTTTCTCAACTTTGAATATGAACCATAGACATCAGCATTTGGCCACAACAATGTTAGTTTTCTAGAGCAAGAAATAACCATATTTGGATGAGAGGGTTCTTCTGGAGAGGTGCGAATGGTTGACAAATCACAATTCAGAAAAACTAATTTTATACCTGTAGACAATGTGTCCCTCTGGTGAGGGCTTGACGGCTTTTCAACACATACCAGGTAACTTTAAATAACAAGTCTTCTTATTACAGTCCACCATAATGTCTACGAGGGAAAGCCAACAACCATCCTGACTTGCATGAACCAGCCAACATGTAAAAAGAAATGAGCTCACAAGCTATAGGTAAAACTATCAATACAAACACACCAGAATTACGTTCACCTAAAACGCATGTGTACAGGATACTTGAAGGCCAGTAAATTCCATTAACAACATAGAAAGCCATACTTTTTTTCTGATTTATACATGAAAAGTATAATAATAAAATAAATAAAGCTCAAGTCCAGTCACAATTTACCAAAAAGGCTGAGTAACACAAACATCCAAACTATCAGCCAATGAGGAACATATGATATAGTTAAGGGGCATGACATTCAGCCGCTCCCTTGCATTGTTAGAGAACGGATCCCTCTGAACTTACTGGTATTGTGTATCATAAAATAAATCATCTCACACCATTATTTGCTATTCAGTTTGCTACTTCAGATGGCTATGGCATATCATTTGTTTTTCAATATCTTTCATTTGTTTTTTTGCCAATGACACGGCTGCTCAGCAAGCCGTTCTTGTTGTTTAACAAAACTGTCAAACTATATATATTTTTTGTCAACGACATGTGTAAATGTGAGTGACTTTAAATACTTCCAGTATACTGTTTGCATCCTGGTTCAAAGCTGAGCCAAAGTGTTAATGAACCGAGGGAGCTTGAAGATCAACAATTCCATTAGAATATGTCTCTATGATTAATAAACAATAAATTATTAAAGTTTTTCAGGATTAAGTCATACAGTGGGTAACCTGGCCATGGATGCATTGGGGCCCACATCCTAATGAACTCGACTCCTTGAAGGAGAGTAAAAGAAGGAAGTGTGCTGAGGACTTTGAGGTGAACAGGTCTACTACAGGCTGTGCTGTATTATGTCATAATTAAAAAATAATTCTCCCCATATATGAACTTGTTTTGCAACCTGTCAACCAAAATTTAAAAGGAGACCCCTAAAAAATATGTTTCACTGAAGGTCACTGGTAGGCCCTATGCCCTACACCATCTCAGGTCAAATATGTTTTTGTTGTTTTTGATACCTGACTTGCATTTGTGCACACAGATTGTATCCAGGGCTAAGAACATCCTCTGATGGTCATGAACAGTGGAATTGAAAAGCAAGTTACATTGTTTTTTTTTCATTTTGCAATGTACTATTTCTCACAATTGCTCATTATTTTTGCCTTAGTTTAGATTATCCCTCTACAGATTTGTATGGTCTGCAGTGAAAAAAACTTCCGGGCAAAGCTTCGGCTCTTTTTGGTTTTACCAAATGTGTGTACCTGTGAACTAGACAGAGTGAGAGTCTGTGAGTGTGTACTGACCTGTTTATATAATGGATTAGCAAACAGAAGAATTCCGAACACTAGGAGATGTGCCTTTTTTAGACGGATGATATAACCTTGTTACCACCCACAGTGAGCAAGAGCATTGACTAACAGAGTGAAGATAAACATTTACATTTGGACACTTCCCAGACCTTTACTATGGGAAAGAATGATAGCAACACACACACATATGCACACACACACACACATTTAATTTCTCATATCTGTCTATTTCTGTCTATCGTAGTGTTGCTTGTTTCCCTTGTGTGTTTTTGTCTTAATGTTTCCTAGTTTAGTCTTTAGTGTTTCCTGTTTTAATTTTGTAAAGTTTATTTTATTTTGTAAAGTTTCTATTGTGTTTTATATTGTAGTTCTTTTCCCCAGTGTTTCTTGTCTTGTATTTTCTTCATGCCTCTGTGATTTCCCTCCAAACCTGATTGCCCTCATTGTGTTCACCTGTGTCATTTGTCTCACTCATTTGTCTGATTTCCCCATGTCTATTTAGTCTCAGTGTTCCTTCCCTCTTGTCCGATCATTGTTAAGTTTCAGTCTGTCGGTTGTTGGTTGTCAGTCTTTGTCAGATTTTTCCCCAGAGTCAGATCTTCTCTGTGGTTTCCTTGTGGCTTGTGGATTTTTTCAGTTTTGCCTTTTTGTTTAAAATAAATGACTTTGATTTTCTGCAATTGGGTCAACCTCCTATGTTTTTTCCACACTGGAACGTGACCAATGATATGACCAAAAATGGACCCAGCAGAACCTTTGGACAGAATGGATTTTTTTTGGTAGGGTACAATATATCCAAGGCATTTTTCGCATGGCCTCCTTGGAAATCAGGAGCACTGCTAAGATTGAGCAGTCTCCTTTGACTAGTCCCCGCCTGGCCATTTTTTCTGGTAGCTGTGGAGGCTAAAGAAGGAGAAGTGGCCCAACGCCATTTTCTGCCCAACGCCTCAGAGTCATCGCTCCCAAGCGCGGCAGAGGCATCGCTGCCTGGAGAGTCATCGCTTCCCAGCCCCCCAGTGATTCTGCCCCTGTGCTCCCCAGTGCCCCAGTGTTTCTGTTCCTGCAGAGCGCCGTCTGCCACCAGTTACGGTGGAGCGCCATCTGCTTCCAGTCTATGCAGAGCGCATTCTGCCACCAATTACGGTGGAGTGCCATCTGCTTCCAGTCCCGGCAGAGCGTCGTCTGCCACCAGTTACGGTGGAGCACCATCTGCTCCCTGTTCCTGCAGAGCGCCGTCTGCCACCAGTTCCGGTGGAGCGCTGTCTGCCGCCTTTGCCAGCTAAGCGACTCCGGGCCCCCTGTGCCTGCTGAATGCCATCAGCCCCTTGTGTCTGTGTCTGATAAGCCTTGTCTGTCTCCTGTTCCTGTGCCTGCTGAGCTCCGTCAGCCCCCTGTGCCTGCTGAGAGACTCCAGCAGGCACCCTTCTAATAAGGTGTGCCCTAGAAACAGCTTACAGTAGCTATATCATAAAATACTGTAGTATTGATAATACTGTTACTGTTATTTGTCCAAACTTTTGACTGGTAGTGTATATATGTTTCTACATATTTATCTTCATGTACTGCTCTTTTTCAGAATGGTAAATGGACTTAAGCTCTTTTCAAGTCGTGTGACTACTCAAAGCGCTTCAACACCACAGGTCACACCTACACATTCACACACTAAAGGCAGAGGTTACTAACTAATCCCATTCAGACACATACAAACTCTGCCAACGAAGCAGCGGGAGCAACTTGGGGTTAAGTGTCTAGCTGCAGGAGTGGTGGATCGAACTCTTTAACTTCCGGTTGAAAGAAGTGTTAAGGGTGTTAAAATTCAATAAATGCATGTGATGCTGATGTTGTAAAATCTATGAGTAATCCTGTTTAATACTTGTGATCTCAAAACCAATCATAATAATCGTGATTATGATTTTTGAAACTATAAAAACAAATTCACACCACTTCTGTCAAATTACACCCGTACAAGCCCCACTAAACTGGTAAACCACATCAATAAGGGATCTAAGTATCAGAGAATGACAACAATTAATCAGCAGCAGAGACAGAGCCTAAGATCTAAGAAATCAATTGAGTGCAACAGCTTTAAATTGAGATTTTATATTTGACTTTTAATAAAGCACCAGCACTTAAATGTTGTTGTTTTTTGACACAGTTACAGTCAGTATAACTGAGACTAGTTCAAGACCTCTTGTAATGCACCCTCCTTTACATAACATGATTAAAATACATTTACGACTCCTTGTGAAGCTTTGACAAAACAATACTCTTGGTTGTGCGGCTGTGCACAGTAAAAGCAGGGCTAAACCTAAGTCATGTGAGAGCTGTTAGAGAAGAATGAGCTTACAGTCTTTAAGAATAATATTCTCTTCTACTGCTGCACCCTTAAAGTTCGTGTTAGGAGTTTCTGGAGCTTTTATAAAACAGACTAGAATTAATATTGTTTCCTTTTACTACAAAGCAAGCGTGATCAACAGCATTAAGGATGAATATTTCTATAGTTTGACATCGAGTGCCTCTGGCTTTTATTGTATTTATACTGGTGTCAGATGAGGTGATTAACAGCACACAGAAGAAACAGCCTGTTTTTTAATCATTTTCCGCAGGAAAGGCTCACAGTCATATGATTGACTGTTAAAGAAAGCAAGACAAGATTTTTCATCAGATAAAAAAAATGTATCTTAATAGCTGTTTTCACTCAATCAAAAGCTGTCTCATCTGAACATCTGCCTCGGGCATCCAGCCAGCAGTCCTTGTGACTATAGCAGCAACTGCACACTCAGATTTCTATGTACTCAAGTGAAGGGCTGTACTTGTGATATCTGAT